GGGGGGGGGGGGGGGGGGGGGGGGGGGGGGGGGGGGGGGGGGGGGGGCGCGAGGCCCCCGACCCGGGCTGCACTGCGGAGGAAACTCCTCTGAGACTCTCCTCCATCCTCCTTTTTTCCGTTCTCTCTCTCTGAACGCGTCCCGGAGGCTTCCACCGTATCTCTGCACCCCCCTCTTTCCATTTTGATTACTGTCTACCCCCCCCCCTTCCCATCCCCTCCCTTCCCCTCCCCCCTTCCTATTTTTCTGTCTGGTACCCCCCATCTGTCTTCCCTTTCCCCCCCCCCTCTTCCTCCCACTCATTTTCACCTCCTCAATCCAATTCTAGGAGCTTTATTGGCATCATAAGATGAATTTGACTGTCTCTCCGCGTCTCTTTCTGGATCGTTTGTCTTCCCGGTACTAATCCTCCACTTTTCAACGCCGCTGCGCAAAAACTCTGCTGCAAGTCGTCGGGCGCGCGCACGTCAAGGGCAGCTTTTTTTTTATTTGATTTTTTTTACGCCCCTAAAACCGAGCGGGATGGAGGGGAAACGCGACTCACTCCGGCTCGTGGAAGGCGTGTGAGGGCTGAGCCCCGCACAGATCGCGCTGGAACCCCGGATTCCCACGTGTGCGCGCACAGTGACCCCGTGTGGACAAAGCCCTGGTGCCTGAGGACCCTCTGCTGCAGATGCCACCTGTAGAGGTTTTTTTTCCCCACGTCAAAATCAGGAAAAAATACATTTTGGGAGCATTGAAAAGACTTTGAGATGATTCTGTGTTTTAGTTGGGGCTCCAGAAGAGCACCTGATGTGCGTCTCACTGCGTGTGGCGTGGTCCCCAAAGTCAGAAAACGTGATCCCCGCACGAGGAGCCGATGAGAGGTGACTTCAGGTTCTCTCCTCCGGGTCAGGGGAACTTTTTGACGTCCCGGAAGTGACGGCGAAGGCTCAACGGGGTCGAAACAAGTCAAGGGAGGTCGTCCCGTCTCCCAAAGAGAACAGGGGGAAAAAAAGGGAAAGAAAAGTTGGGCGGAAGGGGAGATGCGTCCAGCTACATACCGACAGGTAGAGGTGTAACGGAAGTTGGCAACCCAAGCCTTCAAAATAAGAAGATAATAATTATACGATTTTTTTTACATGGTTCTCCACGCGTGGTCAAAATCTCACAAAAGGTATATTTTTTGGTAGTTTAGATGTTTGAATAAAGCAGCAGAGATTAGGATCCACCACCTCAAAGAGGATTCCAGTTGAAAGCTGTGAATACAGGCCCAGATGTGGGCACACCTGCAGCCTGACCTCCACAGCGCTGGAGTAGCCTGCGTATGAGCAAACATCTGCACAGGTTCATGGAGGAAATTCCCTGAATTGTAGATACCTCCCAAGGTGGTGGGCAAAGATAGAATTACTATCCTATGATACCTCAGCATTAAAGATTTAACAAGTGGCAACAAGCCAACTGGAGATTGTGGTGGATAACAGAAAAGCTGGACAGATGTTTTAATCCCAAAATAAAGAAACATCAATAGGAAGGAGGATAAAAAAAAACAAAAGCCGAAGAGGGAAGTTGGAAAGATGTGAGAGGTGACCCTTGACCCCCAAATTACCAGAGTGACAGCACCAGAACCTGGAGCTAGTTTCCATCGTGGCAATTATTTCGCTTTTGGAGTCTATATATGGTTTTGATCTCCTTATAGTCAGCCATAACTGTGCTTAACATTTTAAAATGCTTTAATGTTCTATTTAAGACCCATTTGAGTTGATTCATCTTTTGTAATAATTTAGTATGAGCCGATTGTGTTTTAGTGGTCAATACAGAACCTTGTTTTTTTCTATACTCTTGATTTAAAATCTTTAATGGCCACTAAAACTAAAAAGCAAGTTTTTGTGGTCCTGAATCACCACAGCAGAATTTGGGATGAGCATTACAAAATAAAACATATGTCTAGTGTTGTTTTAAAACTATATGCTTGTTTTGGAATGTGAAAACTGTGTTTATAGGATAACACACTGCTCCAATAAACAGAACAATGTTAAATAAAAGTGTTGTCTTATGTAGAACACTGGACTTTGAATAAAATAGGGAAAATATTGGTCACCTCACAGCAAAGGGGGTCCCATCCAGCTAGGGGTCGTTTTTGTGGAGATTGCATGTTCTCCCTGTAAACACCTTCTTCCAGAAACTCACATATTAGGTTCATGGGTGAGTCTAAATTGACTTCAGGGGTAAAAGTTAATTTTTTGTCTGTGTTTGTTCCATTAATGGACTGCTGTGAAAGTCTCCAGGCCCTATTTGGATTAAATAAAATTGCAAAGTGAGGTATAAAATGTTAACATATGTCCTAATTAGATATGTGCAACTCTTCAAACGTAAAAGCAAAAAAAATAGCGCTTGGAATTGGGTTTTATTTGCAAAGTCTGCACCGGAAGTACCGTGTTGCATCCAGGTTTTTGCTCCGTGTGGCTGGTTGTGGGAAGGTGGTTCTCTGTCGAAAAACAGCGTTCAGAAAAGGCGACCGACGGGGCAACTTTGCATGTTTGTGTACCCCAGTTCACGCTTCGAAACAACCCCGAAACAAACTCCCAAACTCGGGAGTTGACAGGAAGTGTTAACGAGGAGGTCCGTTACGGATTCCGCTTGTTTGCCGTCGGAAGGAAAGTCGGGAAACTACGGGGTGAAAATGGAGAGCCCAGCTGAGTGAGAGTGGGGTGAGGAGGCTGGATTTGGCAGAAGTTTGGGAGTCCTGCCCTGCTGTTAGCGGGCTAGTTAGCGAGCTAAGACTCTCCGCTAAGTTAGGAGGTGAGTTTTAAAGCCGCTTTTCCGCTTTTGGGGGCACATTTGTTGTCGGGGAGGTTGGAGAATCCGCTCAGATTTCCGCTCCCGCTGGAAAAAGTCCCTGGATGCGACCAGATGCGGGAAAAAGTTAACAAGAGCAAGGCCTGGGCTTAAAAAAAGATTAGAAAAAAACAGAAAAACACTCCAAAGCTCCTGATAAGTTTCTAAAGTGAACATGGCTGTTTGTTGGCTGTTTGTAACCCTTTTTTGGGGGGTTTCCTGCTGTAGTGTTTGTGTTGTTTAGTACAACAATGTTAAAAGCAGATGTTTAACACACACACCGTCTGAGCAGATTTAATTTATCTCCTCATTTCATGTTTTTTTGGAGATGCTTCCACGCCAGGCTCCCCATCCACATAGCTGCTCATGTGTCTCTACTTACTGACATGGGTTTCTCATTTCCTCCTCAGGCCTGTCGTTCTTCAGAGGAGCTGCTGGGTTCTGTGGCTGGATCCCAGCCTATCTGAGTAGCCCTGCTCCCCCCGGGGTCCTGCTGACCCCCCGAGCAGAGCGCCAGCCGAAGGACGCCTCCTTTCTCCGCCTCCGTCCGTTTCCATCGTCTTAGCGGCGCGTTTGGGGTTCTCCTTCATGCCGTTTCTGAGCCGGGGGCCCAGCTTTCTCCTGGTGGGGAGTGACCCACATCAGGCTCCGTAACCAGAGAACCACCAGCAGCCCCTTTCCAGACGTGGACCCCCCGCCGAGCAGGATGCGTTCATGAGCTCCGGGGAGGCGTCGGCTGGACTCGCGCTGGTGGCCGCCGGCCGCTGCTGCTGGCCGCTGGCTGGGGGCCGGCTCCGGGTCGTGGGTCTGGGCCTGCGTGCAGCCTGGGTGTGGTGCGGTGATGAGGCAGGGCTCCTGGAGGCCTGTGTGGCTGGCTGGGCAGCTGCCCGAGCGGATGTGATGTGATGTGATGGGGTGCCGGAACAGTAAGGTCCTCCCTGAGCCTCCGGGGGACGTCCAGTTGGACCTGGTGAAAAAGGTGAGTGGCTCACTTTTCCCGGCTACTCCCCACTTATCCCAAGCGGGTCCTTAAAACCCTTAAAATCCAGTAACTGAAGTCAAATCAGGCCACCAGAGATGGATGAGAAACCAGTCCAGCAGAAGCTCTACCTACGATGCCTAAATATACACATTTTCCAACACAAATATTCGACTCGACACCCAAAGCAAATTTCAAACAGGACGTTGGAGTCAGAAAAAAATATATGAAATATATATATAAATAAACTAAGTTAGTTTAAAGTTCAGGTAGTGAAAGTTAGACTAAGTTAGGGTTCGTCCTGTATCTCAGTCTCTACCTGCCAATAAAACCCTTTTAATTGTTTATTTCTTTATAATCTATTCCTTTTACATCTCTCTTATATAATGCATTTGTGTATTGCTATGTGTGATTATCTGCAGTATTTCTTAAGGGGTTATCGTAGGTTTTTGGGCTGTGGAACGAATTATACCAATTACAGTGTATTCTGATGTGAATATTTGAACAAACATACCAATATTTTAACATATGAAGTAGGTCCTGGAACCAGTTAAATTCCTATGTAGAGGTTCTGCTGTATTTATGTAAAGATCTGCTGTTATAGCTATTGGGTTCAAAGCTGAAGGTGGTTTTCAGGCACAGATGATCATAATTATGAGCCTCAGTTTCCAAACTAGTTTAAAAACCTTTTCAAACACTTTCTCAGTTCCTTTCTGGTCAGTTTAGTTTACTTTTATGGCTCCAGTTCTTCCAACAATGATCTGAACACGCCCATTGAAATTTAAAGCATATTCCAGTTATTGCATTTGTGTTTATGGATTCATTTCCTTTTTCTGCTCTGAATGAAGATATTAAAGTAATAGGGTAGATGTGCAACATCCTTTTGATGTTAAAGCATAACATTTCATTACAGGAAACATCTAAATAACTTTTTTTGTTGGAAAATTTATCAAGTATTGT